CTCCTGTTCAAGACTATGTGCTTGCTGGCATTTTAGTCTGTTTTTCTTTTCCAGTCAAGTATCAAAACCCAGACTTCTTCAGTTTCTTTTTCTGCACACTTCCAGGTGTAAGAATGATGGGGAGAACTAACAGTTTTGCAATTTATTTAATACCTGAAAGACTTTCCACGTCTTCTTAATCTGCCTTATTTGAATTCTAACATTAAGTTCCATTATGTACGCTTTAATTTAAGAATAACGAATTCTAGAACATACACATCAATAAATAAATTCTGGAGTGTTTTTCTAACGCTGCTTTTTCAGTTTGGTGTTTGGCTTAGTCAGTTGCTTACATTGAAACTAGAGAGATGTTTTCAAGTCTGTAAGTACATTTTATTTGGAGTGATTCAGCATGATTAAGCACAACTGGATTCACTCATATCTATGCTCCTGAGACATAAATAGTAGTACTTGCCCAAACCAAGTAAACAGAATACCCCAAGCCAGTTCTGAAATTTGGTTAGAAGAAATGAGACAAAAGGCATTTAGTATTTTTGTAACTTCCATAACTTTTCAGAAAAAACACAGAGAAACAAACTGTGTGATGTTTTTTGTGTGTAAAAATACATAACCTTATCAGTAAACTTCACACTAAAGAACTTCAAAGAAAGATAGCATGGTTCCCACAGTTACAGATTTTGCCAACAAATAACAGCTCTTCTGTTTGTTGTGCTCTTATATTATTGTTTCTGTGTGAAATCCTGGGTTTGAGGTTTCTCAGATGAGTAAACAGGAAACAACTCAATTTGTTTTATACTAAATGTGGAACAATGAAAGAAGCTATTTCAGAAGTCAGGATACCACTTAATTTAGGAGCAATGAGGCTTTAAAAAATAACCCATAAGATGCAGTTCTTTTGTGTAGTATTGGAGGATGCTTCTTTGCTTCTTTTTATGGGTGTAAGAACTAGAAAACAGATGTTGACCAGGTGGAGTCTGTATGCATTGCAGATGTGCCATAATAGCTAAATTGTCATTTAAATTAAAATTCTATTTAAACAAATCATGAGTCATAAACCAACCTTTTTGATGACTTGAAGAAAAATTGTCTTTTTTCATGTGTCTTCAGCTGGTTGGTTCATAATTTCCACAAGGATTTCAGCAGACGCTTTATGTGATAATAAGAACGTGTTCCATCACTTGACAGAACCAGGCATTCTTTAATAGTGCATCCCAGGCATTTTGTTCGTTTTTGATTGAAAACTGTGCAAAGTAAGGACAACAAACTGTAAAGAAATGCATTTCTTTAAAAGTACATTAATGCTAATGCAGATCTTTCCCGCAATTGTGCGTATCAGACAATACTGAAAGGCTTGCAGCAGAAATGTACTTAATCATGTTCCCTTTCATATTTGTAAACATCCTAAGCTCATCAACAAATTGCTTGAGTGTTATAATTTTCTTACATAAGTTGCCTTTATGTATTAACTCATATTTTGATTAAAAATTTCTGACAGTTACGTGGTACTAGTTCCCCAGTATGAAAAGTTGAGAAATAAAAGCACAAACAGTTTTCTCTGTAAAGACACTTGGTTGTGCTTTTCAGTTTTTATGTTTGTTGATATTCAGAAATGTATTTTATTTCAATTTTAAACATTTTTCTATTGGAATATCTTGTGAATTACGTATGCAATTATTCAAAGCAAGCTGATTTTTTAATTATCATTTTCTGGGGAATTGATGTTTTACTAGTATCAGAACTGTTATTTGAACTACATGGAGATCCAGATGAGTCTCTTTTCCTCATTATTAGAGAAATTTGGGACTTGAGAGGAAGGAGGTGAGAGAGGAGTAGTTTGGTTGTTTCTGGGGTTTTTTTTTTTTGTAAAATTACCAAAAGCCCAGCAGTTGCAGAGGTTTTAGAACTAAGAAAGGTTCCCTGTTACTTGTTTTTTTTTTCTTGTTTAAATAGCATTACTGAGTGATTAACTCAGTAATGACTAATGCATTATATTCTGTTTTTCTTAGAATTTTCTAGTTGTGGGTTAGAATTTAGACCCAATACAAGGAGGGAGAGGAGCACAAAATGCAACACCTTCTGTTAAGCAGCAGGGCAGTATTGCAGATCATAATGAGATGAACTGTTGGTTATATTTGAGGGGGGAGGAAGTGGTGAAGGTGGTACAGCAGTGATTCAGTCTACTGCTTCTTTCTTTTTAGCTTCTCTAACAGCGTAATTGCTGAGCATTTAACTATTTACTACTTAGCAGTTACAGAATTTACTGTAGACAACAATAAAACACAGAAGTTTACTGTAAAAAATATGTTGCTGCTAATTTTAAATTTATTTTAGTGCCACAGTGAAATGTACTTGACAAGTACTTAATATATTATTGCTGAATATGCTGCTCATTTTTTGCATAGCCTTTGTATTAAAATGACATAACTACAGGGACTTAGATGTAGTCTAGATCTGTCCACTACATACGGTTTTTCTTTTCCTTGCTTCTAAATGTTCTGTTGTGTCTTTTGGCAGACAAGGTAAGGATCACTTTCATCCTGGTTAAACTATTATTTAAAGCCAGTTAAATGAAAATACTTGTTTCAGGAAAAAGCTAACTCTATTGTATTTTCTTAGTTTTCCTTTATTATAATAATTTTACTTTTACTTTATTTTGTCTGTTACCTGGAAGAAAATAAAGTAGTAGTGTCATCTATTGCTACTAAAAAGAATTTTCAGTATGACCAGAATGTTGGTTGGTTGGGGTTTTTTTAAATATATGTATTTCGGTACACTGGATTTTTGAAAGGAAGTTTAATAAAATGTCTGTGTGTTTATGCTACAGCCTTCAAAATTCTCCTCAACTCTGAATACGTAATATGCTTTGTTTAGGAATACTATTTGTGCTTTCTTTGCTTTTGTAATAATATTTCAGTGAATGTTGCCTAAGTACATTTTGTATCTTGACTAGGAAATCTTTAATGTGAAGTTTGCAGGTGTTGAAGTGTCAAATTTAATAATCTGTGGCTGTTCTCGTTTTAGAGAAATTCAACTGTGTAGTATGAGTTAAATTACAAGGTCTTGTGCTTCTAGGTCCAGACTTGAACCTGAGCAGAGCAATGTGTCCAAATCACCTCTTTCCCCTGAAAAATCTCCACAGAATTCTTTAGATGATTCTGAAGAAAAGCTTTCTGCTGAGGAAAGCAAAGGTAAGAATAAAACATGGTTGTATTTCACTTTCTGTGGGAAGGCCTGTCTGTTCGATAATACTTTCTTCACGGTACAAGGGCCTGCTCCTGTGACTTGCATGTTTTCTATTTTCGTCTCCCCTGAGTTGATCATGCTTTTGTGAAGCACATTGTGAGACTGAGGAAGCAAAATCTGAAACTATGATGTGCTGTCGTGTGTGTCATGTGTGATGTCTTGCTCGTAGGAACTCAAAGGTAGAATATGCTCATAGAGGGGAGGTTACTGGCTGGCCGGATCCTGTAGTATGGGGATGTTCTTCTCCATAGCATGGAGTTTCCCTGCTGGAAGGATGGCATCTCATCTTCTGGTGGATGGGAGATAGCCAGAAGTCCAAAGCCCTATCTCTGACTCCAAGGTGATTTCAGCTGGTGCTGTTCTTGACAGGACTTGTGACCTTCTGGTTCCTTGGTGGCCTGCTTTTGGGACCTGGGTATAGAAGTTCCTTCTCGTAGCTGTTTCAGTCTGTCCTGGGATGTGTATGCCGGCACAACTTGGTTGCAGAGTGCCTTTCAGAGTACCACTACTATGCAAATAATTTTAGGTTTCGTACCTAAAGAAAAATCTTGTTTCTGTGATTCTGAGTTGCTTTCCCTGACTTGAGTTCTCCTGCTTGTGCTCTCTAGAGGAGTCCTAGCTACCCTGTCATTTACAGCATGAAAATTATTTTTTTGAGAGAAACAGACGCTGTATGAAATGTGACAATGCATTAGGTTAGTATTTCATCAAGACAGAAGAAATGCACTGTGCAACCATATTATTCTGATAATCACTTATATTTTTTTGTGACCTTTATTAAAAGAGTAAAATTCCTCTGGTTACTGACTTTAGGGCTGTGCAAAGGGTGGATGTGAAGTGGGTACTCCATTTCTGGATGAAGACTCTAATATTGAATTACCTCACAGTGTGCGAGCGGTTTCATTTTCTGCTACAGCATTGCTTATCTTCCTAACCAGTTTGTACTTCTGCAGCCCTATCAGTATGCTTTTTTCCCCTCCTGCTGACTCTGAATTTATTGTAAGAAGTTAAGGTTTTGATTATGTGTCGTTTCTAGTGCTTACTACGTTTTTATAGTATGTCTTAAGTGATGCAGCACACAGGCACATAGATGAGTGTCACCTTAACACGTTATCAGTGTTTCGCAGCTGTGAGCTAGTGCCAACAGAGGAGCAGCAGCATAGTAGCATCTTCACTGCCCCGTGCTCTTTCGTTGTTACTGAACGTCTCTGCCATCTCTGAAAGTGTGCACTCCCACCGCACACTGCCGTTACAATTTTAGCTCAAATCTGTGCCGCGCTATGGAAAACGCTGTTCTTTGGTTGCCTTGGACACAGCAAACCACTGCAATAAACAGAAACAAAGCTTTGTTTGTTGCATGATAATTCTGATTACTTCACTTCTCACTTTTATTAGTTTATGCTGCAATTTTTTTATAAGAAGGTAGAGGTCCTGTCACATAGGTGACGCTGATGTAGTCCTTCTGAGGGATTGCTGACTAGTCTTTGAGAAAACTACAGAACTTGTATAATAAAATAAAACTGTGTGAACCAGTTTGTAAATGCACGCAGCCTGTGATTCGCCACCTAAGTGTAAGTGTTGGTTGCTGCTGTTTATAGAAATCAGCCTTGTGGCTTCGCTGGTAGGTGGTTGTTGAAGCATGAGAATAGCACAAGCAAGATGACTGGGAAACAAGCAGCTCAGTGTAAATCTTGTAGCCTTGGATAATTTTTGTTTTGGCAAGTAACTGTGCAAATTTTTAAGAAATTGGAGAAATTATCATGTTTAGAAGTGAACTGTTTCATTCTCAGGATGATGGTGGTTTAGAAAATGGTGATCATTTGTATTTATGAATTAGCCATCATCAGTGTGCCTGGGTCCCTTGTGTAAATAGCTGTAAAGACAGTTTTTCTGAGAGCAGCTTGTGGTCCTGTCCTTAAACTGAACATTATGATGGACAGCTGAGTGCCCTACTTGGCATGCTGAAACACACTTTGGGTTTTGTCTGGGTTTTTTGTGAGAAACCAAAGCAAAATGTGATTGCTTTTGTTTTGAGGCAAAGCAGCTGTTTACATTAGAATGATACTGGACACGCCTTATGGTCGGAAAACGGTCTCTTTGGGGATTGATTTTATATGCTGCTTATTACAAATTTGACATTTAGTTTATGGAAATAGATGTAAATAATGGGTAGCTTTTGAACTGGCCCACAAGCTTAGCAGCTGTCCCCTTTCAGCATGGAGAAGGGTTCACAGGATTTGGTCGCTGCTCTGTATCTCCATCGTGCATTAACTTCTCATCTATCCTGCAACAGAAATGTCATTTGGCTTTTGCTGGATGAATTGTAGAAAAACATTAATGTGGCCTCCATGAAAGCCGCAGAACAACTTTCCTGGTAGCCAGAAACGTCCCACAGCGACAGGAGATGCATGTTTCTGACTTACCTCTTACCTTAAGTGTATTTCCTGATTAGCAATCGCGTTGGATACGGGTGCTGTTTTTTTAACAGTGCTGACAGTGCCTGAAAGTAATTGGTTCCTCTGGGATAAAATAGGAACCTATCTTCTTTATTGGCTTCGTAAACTAATTATCTTCTTTTCTTTGTATCCAGTAAATAATCAATTATAATTTTGATATAATGTAAATACATTGATTACCTAAACAAGTAAGTTTTGTGTTTCTGTGAAGTAGACGTGAAATACTGATGATACCCCATGGAAAACACAGAGTTGAATCTTTTCTAAACAATCTTTAAAGACACTTTTGATTTTATTTATTACTACTTGTAAGAAAGATTTCATTTTTTTATTTACTGTATTTCTTATCCACATCCCTTATTGGTAATATTGTCATTGTTTGTACATCCTGGTTTGGTTGCTGGGAAGCAAAATATACATTTATAAAGAAGACGTACACAAAAGCACTCTCTCAATAATTTCTATTTTTCAAGAGTTTTCACAAATACTGTAATAAAGAATAAAGGGAAAAACTTAAGCTTATAATCCTTTTCATTTGTTTATGTATAGGACTGCTCCTTTCAGAGGCTTCCCAAGAGAAGCCGGTATCTGAATGATGATGCATCAGTGCTGCTTATGCAATTGAAAACAATTAAACTTGGAAGGTTGTAACAAAACAAATGAAAATACGTATAAATGTCTGAAAAAGTTGACTGGGATAAATAGGAGGTCTGTAATCCATGAAAAAGTGAAAATGAAATCTTTCCGTTTTATAATTTGTAGCCTGCATCTGATAAGTCAAAGCAGGTTCAGCTTTGATCCATTGCGGGATGGTGCAAATTGATCTTCTGGGGTTTGTAAAAATGCCGCAGCCAGTGGGGAGAAGAGAGGCCCTCTCCAGAGTGCGGTCTTACCACTAGGATTTTAAACACTGATGCAGGAACAGCTTCAGAAACAGCAGGTTCCTGTAGCGTAGTTTCTTTCCCATTCTAACATTTTTCGTCTGTAATCAGAAGTATATAATTAAGCCTAAAAATAAAAATCTTCCAGAAGGGAATATCCCAGAAATAGCCATTCAAAATCTTTTATGCCCAACTCCTGCTAAGATTTATGCAGACAATTGGCTTTAATCAAAGGGGAGGTAGTATTGAAATCAGTGAAGCACCTAGGATGTGTCCGCGTTAGTTTGTGGGAATCGGATCTGATTCCTGTTGTATGCAAAAAGTAAACATGTGCATAGACTTTTGTCCCAGTTTAGAAGTTAAATGTCGTTGGTGTCATTTTGTGCTGTAAATGTAGGGTGAATCTCAAATGAATTATAACGATTTCATCAGGGTGCTGAAATGGATGAAAAATGATTTTCGCTTTGCTACTTAGTGCCCTGCATTGTCTGAAGTGCTTTGTGTTTTACAGACAGGAATGTGCCTGATGCCCAAAGTAACCTTGGATTATGGGGGGATGGCAAAGGTGAAGATGAGCTGTCACCTGAAGAAATACAAATGGTAAGTATATCTTGTGTCTTAATGTCGTTTTTACTGTATTTTCTGCTGTATTCATATTTGCTAAGAAAGTACAGATTCACCCAAATTAATTTTCAACTTTCATTTTTTGCAGAATAACATCATAACAAGATAGACCTTTTGCACATGGCTTCTTGGTTCTTCTGGTAGCAGCTAATATTTAAAATTGCTGCAAAGGTCTTTTCCAACCAAACGATTCTATTTTAAGATCATCAAGTCCAATCATAACCTGTCCACTACTAAACCATGTCTCTAAGCACCTCATCTACCGGTCTCTTAAATACCTCTAGGGATGGTGTTTTCACCACTTCCCTGGGTAGCACATTCCAGTGGTTGACAACACTTTCAGTGAAGAATTTTTTTCCTAATATCCAATCTAAACCTTCCCTGCTGCAACTTGAGGCCATTTCCTCTTGTCCTATCATTTGTTACTTGGGAGATGAGACCAACCCCCACCTCACTACAGCCTCCTTTCAGGCAGTTGTAGGGAGCGGTAAGGTCTCTCCTCAGCCTCCTCTTCTCCAGACTGAACAGCCCCAGTTCCCTCAGCTGCTCCCCAGACACTGGACTGGTGCTCCAGCCCCCTCACCAGCTTTGTTACCCTTCTCTGGACACGCTCCAGTGCCTCAATGTCCTTCTTGTACTGAGGGGCCCAAAACTAAACACAGAATTCAAGGTGTGACCTCACCAGTGCTGAGTACAGGGGCACGATCACTTCCCTGGTCCTGCTGGCCACACAGTTTCTGATACAAGCCAGGATGCTGTTGGACTTCTTGGTCAGCTGGGCACACTGCTGCCTCATGTTCACCTGGTTCATCCCCAGGTCCTTTTCTGGCAAGCAGCTTTCCAGCCACTCTTCCCCAAGCCTGTAGCGTTGCATGGGGTTGTTGTGGCCCAAGTGCAAGACACAGAACTTGGCCTTGTCAAACCTCACACAATTGGCTGTAGCACTTCAAAACAGCCTGTCCAGGTCCCTCAAGCAGATCAACACTTCCACCTCACTTGCTGTCACCTGCAAACTTACTGAGGGTAAACACAAACTACGAGGGTTGTTGATGAAGATGTTCAATAGAACTGGCTTTAACACTGAGCCCTAGGGAACGCAATCTGTATCGCTCTTCCCATCAGAGATGAGCAAGTTGCACGTAATTATGGTATCCTTTGTCAAAGAGAAAACGTTCTTCAGAGGCTGCTCTTGATGCTCTCATATTGTCCTTGAGTGCCAGTCTGAAATCTGAAGGCTTACTCCTGCTTTCTGTTTTCTTTTTTAAAGAGAATTCTTAACACATTTTCATCCTCTGTTGTGGCTCAGTATTACGGTGTGAGCTTCCAGAGCATCAGGAGGAAACAAGCGTGGCTGGTGATGGCTCTGACAGGACTAATAACCCACTGCTAAATGTCAGCCTGCTTTTTGTAGGCCTCACACTAATTCATTTTTAAACATGTTGCATCCCTTGCCATGGTAGTTTGGTAATAAATAAGTTTCTTTTTCATTAAATCTTTTTACTTTTTAGAGTAAGGCCCCAGATACTCATGACTTAGATGAGTTACTGAAGTCTATGAGTTTTGTTCTATTTCTGTTATCAAGATTAGAGGAAGATAAACATCTTAAAATGCTGATTTTTGCCCATTGAGGATTTGAATTTCTCCCTGTAATAAATTGTGTTTATTGACTTGTGAGGGGGAGTGATTCTAGGCCTAAGTAAGAGAAAAATGGATGTTCATAGTTTAATGCTTTGAAGGATCTCTGATCCAGAACTGCTTCTTATTAGGTATTTGGGCAGCTCTTCCTAGGAAGAAATCAACAGACATTTCTTAAAAATCCATTATTCTTGTTTAGCCATTCAGACCTCTCCTGTGCTAAGTTTTTATTTCTATTTATTTATTTATTAAACATTTACTGAGTGTTTTACACTGCTTCACTTCTGCTGTGCAAGAGTTGCACCTCCTGTGAAAAGGGGTATAAAAATAATCCTGATGCTCCAAATGAAGTCACTTTTAGCTCAGACTAAGGCTGAGTATGTCATAAGTATGTCCTTATTCTTGGCTTACACAGTTCTGCACCCAGTTTGCAAGAAAATGTATACTATATAACAGTGCCTTGATGTCAGTGCCATGATCAAGCCCAGAAATGTGACTATGCCACAGCGAAACTGCTCTTTCAGTGCATTTTTGAGGAAACTTACAGCCAAGAGCTGGCCTTTATTAGTAGAAGTTTGATACTGTATAGTTTTACTCCTAACAGACTTCAAAGTCACTGGATCCATTCTTCTAAATTCCAGGTAAATTTGGGTCAAAGATGTAGGAAATAATTTGAATCTTTCAATGTGCGTTGCCTTTTTTATTTTTATAGCTCACAAATCCTTCACACTAACTAAACAATTTTTAATTACTTCATTGGGCTTTTAATGCAGGAGTGAAAGGGTCTTTACAAACACGTAACAAACCCTCCCAGCTTTAGTCAAGTTATTCACTCAAAGGACAGGTAACTATTTCTCCTCTGCATTATGTTTGCTGTTACAGAGAAGCGAATTTCTATTTTTTTGAACATTTGATTTGTGAAGCACAGACCAACTGCATTTAAGTTACTTAGAAAATCCATCAGATCTCAGAAGAGGGCAGGTCACAGCGTAGAAACTGCTGTGTTGGTTTTAAATTGGGATGTGTTGGGTCAACTCGTACTTAACAATTCTCAATCATGGTTCTGTGATCCTTCCTGTGGGTAAAATAATGAGTTAAAGCCCTATCGTATTGCTACAGCAGCAGTTTCTATCGGTGTTTTACCCACAGGAGAGAGCTTTACATTGCTCAAAATGGTTGCAGGCTATTGTAGTCTTTGCACAATAAATCCCAGTGTATAACCCAGGAGTACAGGTGTATTAATGGGCTTTATAGTTATTGTGAGCAGATGTCTTGTGGTTGCATTGAGTGGGAAAAAATCTGGCTCTGCTGTTTGAGTTGTGAAAATACCTAATTTTCCCTGACGGTATCAGGTACAGTGCATATAATGATTTATCTCATGAAATAACAAAAAAGAACTGTGGTTATTTTTCCTATGCATTAGATTTTTAGACGTTATCTTACACAGTTTGGCACTTTATGCCATACTCTGCTAACAGAATATTTCACTGTCATAAAAGAGGCCACTTTAATAAGCTGTGCGTCGTTGCACTGTACTGATCGCTGAGTTTGGTTTACGTTCCCATCGTGTAAATCCCTTTGCGGCACACCGGTATGTGCCCTATTCTGCGCTCTACCCTTTTGTTCAATTGGCTGCTGTAGCATCTCTGGGCGCTGTCTGCGCCAAGCCGTCTGTCAGCCGTGATTTCCAATTGCAAAGATCATTTCGCAGTTTAAAAGGCAGTCTGTGCCAGTGGAGGGTTTTAAATATCAAAGAGACTTCTTAAAGAATACTTTCTCAAGTGGATTTGTGCTATTTGTAAGGGATTAAAGTCATTCACTGTTTCTTTATTGAAAATTTGCCTTCTAAATTAGTTATCCTCGCAGTCTTACTAAGGCAGCAAAATAGGGAATTTCTGATGCTGAATATTTGTGCAGGAATACTTTTATCCTTACACAAGTCAGGAAAACCACTGCAGCTTGCTGGCCCCATTTAGCCACTTCAGGACCAAACAGACGACTCGGCACTAAATCTTGTGGCTCTGTTTCATTGCTCTGTTCCTTGGCTTTGTTCAGAGGTGACTCCACTAAAACCAGAGTCATGCAGTGGTGTGAACAGGAAGGGGTGCAGTGATGAAACACCTTTAACCATCTGCTGCTGTGAAGTAAATATCGCCCTATTAGTCAATTGTTTTAACAAATGCTCTGCCCTGTAGGAGACACTACAGGCAGCAGTGGCGGTGACATTTTAATGTATTGCAGCACTGATACAATTTCTTTTGTATTTTAAAAGAAATAAAAAGATCATTTTTCATTTTTCTTTGTGACATAAATTGCCTATGTCAGAAGACTAAATGTTTTTTTGTGAGATTCACTGTTACCCTTCTTTAAACATACCTGTCATTTTATACTCGCTTCTGCCAAATTAAACCTACACTTTTCTGATTTTTAACAATCCCCAAAGTCACACGGGTTGATGTTTGATTTGCTGTTGGCAGGGAGTCAGGTCCTGTTTCTCTGAGGTCCCGGTGGGCCTGGAGCAAGATGAGAAACATTACGGCACCAAGTGTGGGGGACAGTGGCGATGGTGTGGGGTGCGAGGAGGAGGAAATGAAGGTGCAGGCTAGGAAAGGGGTTGTGCCTTGTCTTGTTTGCTTGTTTTTCTGTGCTGGCCCGTGTCAGTGCAGAAGTCTGGCTCAGCTCCTGCTATCTGCTCTGCCTTAGACCTCATCTGGTCCTGTGGTGGTATTTCATTCACTGATCTACTGGAACACTCAGGAGGAAAAAGTGGTTAGTGAGCTGAAATGCCATAATGGGAAATCAGAGGAGCGGCAGCACTTGCTTAGGGCTGTGTATGTGGGGTGAGAGAGGAGCAGGACAGGTTCCTCAGTGGCTGCACTAGAGCTTTGTCACTTCACCCTGAGTTATACACGCACGTTATTTCTTCTCTGTGTTAGTGTTATGAAAGTACTTGGGATGGCAGAAGCTTCAACTGGGACATTCGGGATCATTTCAAGGGATGATCTTAAAGATTTCAAGATCTTAAAAGACCCAGGATAGAGAGGTTGGTGGCATGATGGGGGCAGGGTAGGTGTCGCAGTGCTGAGCCAAAGCATCACCAAGCATAGCAGTACACAATGTTAAATTTAGGTACTCCTGTGGACCGGCTCTGTGAAGGAAGCTTTGGGTCAGATGCACTGTATGTCACACTATAGCCACTAATTCTGATGTTACATCTTAATGAAGAATTGTGGTGGTGTTTATACTACTTGAATATATGAAGTGCTTTTCAGCTGTTTCAGTAGCAGTGCTCTAAAAGCAAAATGCCCCTTTGCCTTTTCTGATGTTAACACAAACCTCACCGTTACCATAATTCTCTGATTCAGACTTTTCCCCTCGTTCCTTCTGCTGCTTTTTGGACAGGATGACAGCTTATTTCAAATACTGTGTCTTCTCTGGGCAGTGCCTCCTTTTCTTGGATGCTGAAGCGTTGGGATACGCTCAGGCAGTGAGCAGACGTGTCTGACCTGTGAGCAGCGCTGCTCTGTTGGTGTTTCCATCTTTGACAACGCACTTCTCTGCCTTAAAAAGGGTAATGAGACCTTGCAAGGCAGCTGAGAGGGCTGTTGTGCTTTTACTGCTCATGAAATTGTAACATGATCAGATTATGCCAGAACCAGTGTGTTATGTAGGCGAGTTCAAGATAAGATTAACTGAACTAGAGCAGGCCTTGCTGTCTTGGACAGCTCCTGTGTCAAATTCTTTGCATTCTGAATGCTGTTTCTGGTGTTTCCACTGCCATATGTATCACTTGGGCTCGTCAGAGGTGTGTAACAAGTAATGTTTTCAGTAGAACTCTATATCCTTGAGTGCTATGTCTGTAGCACAGACACAGACCAGGTATTTTCCAGCTTGGTGAGAAAACTGCAAAGACTTTGCCAGTTTTATCTGTACCACAAAGCTCCAGCCATTGCCGATGCTTTGGCTGTGTAGAATTAATTGGTGGAATACCTCGAATAAGCTTTCTCTCCCTCCCCCAAAAAGGGACTGTGACCCTTCTGATGCGGGGTGCTCTGCTGCCCCTGATGGCAGGAGTCTTTTGGCCGGGGCAGGCCACAGCGCTCCCCAAGAGCAGCCGCCTGGATCCTAGTGGCTGTGGGGGTTTTGTTTTGGGTGTGCAGATTTTGTTTCAGCAAACCATGTCATCGTACTTGCTCCATGATCGCTTCCTCTGTACTGAATCCCAAATGATCTGACTGTCAAATGCATAGAAAAAGTCAAAACTTATTCTCCGGTACAAAGTCTTCTATTTATGCTTGTATTTGAAAAATGTAGTGCTAGAAGTGTATTTATATGTTTCATTGATTACTCGTGAGTTGTAAATGGGAAAGGTCTGCTGGAATAGCTAAAGCTCATTCATTTGTAAAGTATGAGATGTCAAAATATTTCATGTTGTAGCAAAATCTATAAAGCTCTTAACTTCATGCCATGGGCAGTACATGAATAATGTGAGTGACAGTGCCAAGATACCATGAAGAGAATCACATGCTTTCACAAGCATGAAAGCTTTCCCCGGTCAAATTTCTAAAATAATGAAAAAGGACAGATTTCACCCACTGTATTTTTCCCTACTGCAAAGTAACTTGAGCAAAATCTTCAAGTTCTTTCGGGCTTTGTGTCATTAATGTGAGGAGAACGGCAAGAGTTACAGTGGTTACAAATAAGCAGATTCCTATGGTTCATTTAGGCCACTATTAGTCATTCTTGAAGATCTTTTTAGTTGAGACACATTGTAAATGGGTTGCAAGGAAGGGTGGAAATTGGTTGATCAGGCGGGGATTGAAGGAAGTCCCCTGGGCCCAAGCTTGTGAACTCACGTGTGATTTGCTCCTTCCCTCCTTCCAGTTTGAACAGGAGAACCAGCGACTGGTTGGTGAAATGAACAACCTCTTTGATGAAGTCAGGTACGGTTTGCTGTTACTTGACAGGTCCCATAACCCGGCCAACACCCTCACACAGGGGATTCGCCACAGGAGACACCTGCCTGTGAGATGTAGTGGTGGGGTAGGAGGAGGGACAAAATAGGAGCACCCAGGAGCTCTCCCCTTGCTGTGCAGAAACCCGAATGGCTGACTCCGGCTAGGGCTCTGCTTTTGGGTCACTGGTGTTCAGCAAGGTGAATCCCACACTTAGCATAGCACAGAAAAAGGTTATGTCCGAATTAACTCCTTGGGGTCCACCACAGATTTTGAGCATCAGATGAAAGGAAGATGCGTGAAGCTCTCGCAGGGCAGGCCGCTGGCGAGAGCTGCTGCCTTTCCCACAGCTCCACTGCAGGCTGGCTGTCTTCCAGCCATCAGCAGGGCTGCTGCTGGGACACAGTGGCTGGCAAAGCCGTGCCTTTGGAGTAGCCCACTTACCAGCCTGGATCTGGATCTGCAGGAGCGTGGAATGTTTGCACTGGTTTCTAATGGTGTATTTCTGTTCTTTACCAAGACAAATTGAAGGAAAAGTGGTGGAAATCTCCAGGTTACAAGAGATATTCACTGAAAAAGTCCTGCAACAGGTTAGTATAATGGAATGCGACAGCAGCAAATACAGCTTGAAGATTTTCTTGGGGGTACTTCTGTCTTGGTTGCATGCAAGATGTAAACAAAAGATGAATGAGTCTTTGGCACAAATGTGAAGGAAAAGATTTTTGTTTGGTTTTGAAATCCAAAATCAAGGTATTTTCTGTTGTTACTTATCAGTATGTACTGGGAATGGAAAATGCAACATATGCGATCCCTCTGTCTCAGAATCAGTGTCCTGTTACATGTGTTATTTAATAGCGTATTTTCTGGAAATGGTGGCACATCTTCCAAAAGAGCTGGCAAAAGTTAGACAGCTTAGATTTGATTCTAGATGTACAGGAGACTTGTGTTTATCTTGATCGTCTCCATTCAGGCTTGTAAAATCACAGGTCAAGAAATTACAACTTAACTGACTCTATGCCTTTGCAACATTGAAATGAAAATGTTAATTATACCAGATTTTACGTTTTAGTCCTTTAAGTGTTTGTTTTTTTTTCCTACAATTAATCACAGGTTCTCTTTTTTTAATAGGAAACCGATATTGACAATATTCACCAATTAGTTGTGGGTGCAACGGAGAACATCAAAGAAGGCAATGAAGACATAAGAGAGGTAATGTCTCTAAGCTGTGTTTTAAACTCGCTCAGCTTTTGGTTTTGCCCAAGTGTTGCTTTTAAGCAGCACCTCCAGACTGACCCAGAGCACAGCTGCAGCGAGTGCTGGGGCCCGGGCAGGATTTGGAAAAATTGCAGAAGGCAGCAGAGGCTCTCAGCAGCTTGCAGTGCTCGTCTCACTGCCCGTGGTTTGAACAGCTGGGCAGGTCTGCAGAGATCTACTTGTCCTCACCCGATTTTAAGCATGAAGGTCACCTGGTGTGCATTTAAACACCTGTCAAGTTTGTTTAAAAAAAAAAAAAAAAAAAAAAGGGGCCGAGGGGCAGAAGTTGCAGACTATGAATAAAAGATGTGTGCTACTGCTGAAACTGGAATGCAGTGCAGAGTGTTAGCAAAGAGACTCTGTACCAGGCTGAACCCAGCTCCTGTGCTCCTAGCAAACACATCTATCCCTTTCTCTTACTAATTAGAATGAAATGATGTTTTCTTTCAGGAACTGAGTTTTCAATAAAAACCGAGTTCCTAAATTTGGCTGAGTAGATGGCTTAGGTTTTGTTTTTTAATTCCTTCCTGAAAGCACACAGAATATGTAACTCAAGGTTGAGTTACCTACTGCTCAGCTCTCCTGAAAAGCATCAAGCGTATGTCGGCAAGAGTAACTTAGGGACTTAGAACGTCTGATTTGAACTTACTCTACTCAATGAATGGGGAAATATCATCTGGAGTATTCTCCTCAGTAGCTGTCCCATAGGCATGGTGGTATGGCACATGGTGGGCAGATGTTTGGGGGTTTTTTTCTGGGTGTTGGTTTTTTTTTTTTAAGACTTAAATCAACAGATTTCCTACTGTTCAGCATACAGTTACTATGCCTTTAGATTATGGTTCTTAAGCACTTGAGATAGGATGCTTGGAGTGTACGGAGCTGCCAGCTGATTGTCTGAGTGTTCATGGTTGTACATCAGGATTCAACATGGCATGAAGATACTTTTGCTTCATTTTTCATGTTTGGAGGTAGAACTAAGCTCCTTAACTCACACAGAGAAACAGTAACGAAAGGTGATAAGTACAAAACTTTGTTACTCACACTAATGTTTGTATCTCATTAAAAAAAGTCTATGCCATGTGTAAATCTGAAAATGAGAGAGAGAGAGAAAGTGAAATACTTCATTGACAGTGCTACATCAGCCTCCAGCTACAGCTGTCAGGTTTTGGTGTGGGGTCTTTTTTGGTTTTCTGGTTGGGGGTGGGGTGGGGTTTGTGGGGGGGTTCTGTTGTTGCTGCTGTTGCTTAATTCAGAAGACATTTATTAGACTGATGGAGACCTGATTGTTTCTAATCACAGAACTGCACTTTTGGAACGTCAGACCAACCTTTAACGTGTACATTGTGATGTAGTTCTTAACGTTTTACGAATATTTCCACTGTGTGGAATCCTGTGATTTTTTTTTTTAACAACAAATTGTAAGATTTTGAGAGAAACTGTACAGTTGTAATTCTAAGGAGGTGCAGCCAACTCGATTTTTTTTCACATGGAATGAAGGGCAAGTTTTGTTCTTTCTCCTGTGGGAGGGAAAAGTGAAGCCACCCACAGCCATCCTGGGTGGCCACTGTAGAAACTACTGTACGTTTACTGGAGATGGTAACAGAACCTTTTCCTCACAGGCCATCAAAAACAACGCTGGATTTAGAGTATGGATCCTATTCTTCCTTGTGATGTGTTCATTTTCCTTGCTTTTCCTGGACTGGTATGATAATTAATTAAAAAGATAATATTGTCTACATTTTTTTCAGTGGAGAAAGGTGTATGGCATACTGGTGTACTTTATGCATTCTTTTCATTCTGCTGTGATGGAAATATTTTCTGCTAAATAAGCACATGTATGTATCTGTTAGCACAGAAGGAGCTGATATCATTCATATTAAATCCCTTTATCAAACATAAAACCACACTTAATCCTGCAAAGAATGCACAAACCTTCGAAAGAGCACAGCTAACATGAAAACCCCCAATAGTGGTTTTATTGCACACCCACACATGGGTGGTGGTTGAAGTGCAGCTCCCAGCGTGCAGACCAGAGCAAGAGGAAAGTGTTGCTGTGCAAAGCATCTCCACTGTCTCAGGCGTTTATTTAGTCATGCCACTGCAGTACATGGTGATCAGATCACACACGGGTGACCTCTACTTCCAATCCTCTGAACTACTCCAGGCAGAGATCAGGGTGATTTACTAGTGACAGTAATAATAGTAGAAAGTCAACTAAAGAGCTGTACTTCTAGGTGAAAAGAGAGAACACAACACAGACTGTGCAGTGAAAGAGATGTTCTGGGATGTCAGAATAAAGCCAAAGGAGAGCCAGTGTTAAAGCCAAACTCGTCAAGGTACTAAAACTGGGGGGGGAATTTAACTAATAAAAGAAAAGTATCAAACCCAACAGTAGATAAGACTCACACTCTCTCTCGTTATACTAGAGGAGAAAATGGCTTTGACTTCATGAAGCATCAGCAATCTGTTTCTCCTACATCGTAAAGCTCTGGTTTTGATCAATGTTTCTTGTTATGAGAGAAATAAGTTGTTTCTCGTCAGTATTTACTTGCGCATTAAAGTTTTTATTGTCCTAAATGTAAGGAGGAGATGTACCATGAATCATTGTGATGTAGGACAGTCCTGGGAAACAGATCTCTCTATCTCATAAAATCTGACTGTCTGCTGTAAAGACGTTGGTATGAAATGTGTGTTTTTCTATCTCTCTTCTGAAATGTGTACTTCCAGACATTATATGTAACAAGCAGCAGCATCCTTATTCTTTACTCTGCAGAGTGAAAATGTCAAAAGTTACATGTGCATTAATTACGTTTTAAAAATCATGTCTATTAAAAAATGCAAACATGGTATGTTTTGAGTTTCTTAACATAAGCTTGAAATTTTTAAATGCAAAGAAAAATCTGGCACAATTTATTGCTTTCTATGCATTCCACATACCATAATGACTTAATAAAAAGCTTTTTACAGAGATGACATAGTAACGCACTTTTCATATCAAACCTAGAGAATTAAGTGATAATGGTCATTTCTGCTGTATTGTCGACAGAGCAATTCTACTGGAGGAAAAAATAAACATAGAGCTGACCATGTTTGTTGTACTGCAGATCTAACGAAACAGCCCACACTGCGGTTTTCCCTTCATTTTTGTGTAGTCTCTACCAAAAATAAAAAAGGAACTTTTGACGTCTCCACCTTGTCCCAGTCCGGTTACATGAACAAAAAAGGTGACTTGCTTGCCCAGATGCTTCATCCACTTATTTTGACTAACTGTTAAATGAATGTCTTTTTTTGTAATATATATTTAAGATTTATAATAAAAATGAAAACATGGTTTCACACAAAGAACAGATAAATTTGTAATTACAATGGAACGTGACCGTGCACCCACATTTTCTCCTACACCTCTTCCCCTCCCAAGCCCTACCTGAATGGTTCTACTCTTGTTTCCCATGTAGCTCCAAACACCCTGTTGTGTTACCACATCCCCCCTTGTGATTCTGTTTTAAAAAGTAGCCAACTGCAAACCATAGAGAAACTGAAAGCTCTTTCTAATTAGTAAGAAGGGAAAATGTTAATGCAATAGAAGAGAAACTTCAGACACATTACTCCCTCTCTCATATCCAACAAATTACATAGTGGACTACATCTACTGTGCATAGGCTTTCTGCCTCTAACGTATGACCGAAAGATGTCGTTTCTCATTAAACACCCTGAACTGTGTACTTTTCACACTGTCCTCAACATCCATCACTACAACTGTCTGTGTTTTTCCACAATGCCTATCTAGTTTGTGTTTCAGTGCACATCCTTACCAAGATGCTAAAGCCACAGTGGAAATGCAGTTAAATCCTGTTGACAGCAATAATAAAACATTGAGCATGCGTTGTTGCAGAGAACTTCATTATCACTTACAAAGAAACAACAGTAAAGAAAATGTAAGAAAAATCCTACCCGACAGTTTCTTTCTCCATACAAGTCATTACATTACGCCCTTGACACCACTGCTGACTACCACTCTTGCTTGAGCCAAGACTAGGTATTAAATACAGCTTTCAGCTAAACAAGAGATCACTCCTAGTTATGGCTGGGGTGTTTCAGTTTGCAAAATGACAGAGACTAAAAAAAATCAATGAAGTATCAGTTCAGACAACAGAACACATTATTTATCTCAGGTCCAAGCCCTGAAAATCCAGTGAAGAAATCTGTCAGCATCCAATAAACTGCAAGAACATACCTAACATTGGAATTTTTTAACATTGAAAATGGTGTCAAAGCTCTAAAGCAATGCTGATATGCACCTGGCTTTATGCCCATGAATGTTCTGCAGCAAGTTTTTGTTTTTGTTTTGGTTGGGTTTTTTTGCGAAGCAGTATCAGCAAACAGAAGCAATTGCACCATAAACATGAGTAACCTCTAAATTATCCATAATTATAGTTAATGAAAAGTTCCTTAAAGTCCCTTAGTTACCTTCAAATGACATAGTGTTAATAATTAGCGTATCGCACTAAGCCGATTTCTCCGCGGCTTCTGTCTCCTGCTCCGACAGTTTCTCCTCGGAGAGCACCGTCATCCACGGGGACACCGAGCGGGTGATGGTTTGCTTCGCCAGATTGTAGTGGTTTATGACTGTGTAAAATTTCCCTCGAGCGCTGGAGTCTTGTTCAGAGTAGTAGTTTTCCAACCCAGCTGGAATGCATTGATTATTCTGAAAAGAAAATCCATCACTTTTAGATTGCAGGAGCAGTCCCATACACACCAGAAGTAGGTTAGGGGATTTTTTCTTTCCCTTTTAGTCTAAGCCAACACTCGCTTTCTGCGAGTCGAGATGCAGCACACAGCAATTAACTGCGGCGTTGTCCTGCTGTGTTCAAAATGTTCTTCCCTGCAGTCCTTAAACTACTCGTGGATTTGCCAGGAAGACCAATTTGGGTTTATTTGCCAGAATTATTAATGCACACGAAACGTGCTTGCCTAAAATGATTTTTACAAATACTCAGTCTCTAGTTCCAGCCATATTTTGCTGCTTTTTCCTCCCCACCTAGTTCCAACTGCTTGGCCTACAATTACAGATGTCTGCATTCTGCCCTTAGATGAGCTCCAGGCACTTAAATACAGTGTTGTCAGTCTGAGGGACAGCAATTAATACAGATACACTGGTGCCGAGGTAGGAACAGCTTTACAGCCCCGTAAATAAGACATACAGGGAAAACAGTGTGGGTGGCCAAGCTTATGTGCAAGTGTGCACACAAAATACTTCACTCTTGATTGTCAGAAAGATGTAGCCAACAGCATGCTTTTAAAAAGCTCTCTTTAGCTGTGGGACTACATTATTTAATTTCCCAGAAGTGCACTGCACAGAAACTGCGCAATGCTCTGAGCTTTGGAAAGTGAAATACCTGAGAGTGAAATACTAAGTAGGATCCAAACTTTACTGTCATCTTAAAAACCACAGGGAACGTGCACGTGCCGTGCACTGGTGAGCGGGGATCTGGCAACCGCTCCAGTGGTGATGCAGTAAAAGCCTAGGATGCAGGCAGTTGCACTGAAGGAAAAAAATTACATGGACACATCCTGTGAAGCCCCAGGTTTTGCTCCAGAAGAGCACGGGTCTCCCCGCAGCCCCTCTGCCCCATCTGCCTGCCCAGGCAGTCCTGCCCAGCACCTCAGTGTTGGGGCAGCCAACCTGGGCAGCTGAGGTGACCCCCTAACAGACAAGCTCTGAGTAGCTGCAGCTTGAGGAAAAGTAAGTTTAATAATTTCTACTCTGACTGTTTGAAAAAGCAATCGGCTGTTCAGTCCTCTTGCTTCCAGCACTGGAAGACTAAAATTTATAATACTACAGCACAGCAACCTCAAACTGCTACTGTTCTCACAGGGCTTGGCAAATGGAACTTAATACTGGACATTTCTGAGGAAAAAAAAACCAAACATGCAAAAATGCCATACATTTACTTCTGGGCTGATTCCTGTCCTTGTCAGGAAAAGAAATTAAAAAAAAAAAGTGTCATAAATAAGCACCAGTAACAACAGTTTCAAATGGTTTCAATCATAAAGCACAGAATGACTGGGGGAGAGATCCAGCAGACAATCTGTGCCCTAAAAATGTTAGGGTGAAAAAACACATCAAAAGGTACGAAAGAAGACTTGCCAAAACAGCAGGGCCACAGGAGTCTCAGGGACCTGCCTGCCTCCCTGAATGCAACCTCGTGGCAGATGTGATGCTGACAGAGGGATGGATGTCACCAGACTCGCAGCCCTCCCAGGCATTAGCACCTCATGGCTTCCACCCTGGATGTGGCAGACTGCAGCAGCTCAGGGTTCACGCATTCCAGGTTCCCTTTACTGGATGTCTTTTGTTAAGGCAGCAGCCAGGGCAATGTCCCCTCAGTTCTGTTTGAAGTAGCACTACAAAGCAGACGGGATTTAGCCCTGGCTAAGCCGACCCTTGTGCCTGTTCAGCACTGTTAAAAGTCAATGGAGGTTTCCCCATGGTCATAATCATCGTGTGCCAGCCGCAAGACTGGGACCCAGATTTAAAAGTAAAATAACAATCCAGGACAGCTCTGGAATAGATCCATTTGATGTTCATGTTCACCTACATCAACCATGCCATCTTCTGGGAGTACTATCCACACTTTATCTGGGATAACTGACACTGTCTCTGATGTGATAAAAATTACTAAGTATGTAGACACAGACATCTTTGTAGTGGTTATTTCACCCAGTCATGGGACGTAGTCGCAATCCTAAATATTTAAAATGGGGGAAGAAAAACAATACATTGATCTAATGAAACCTGCCAGGAAATTCAAGCAAATATAATTATCAGTGCTGAAGACAAGCCAAGATTACTACCAGTCTAAAAAAAAACAACAACAAAAATCTTACATTGCTTTTAGAAGCCATTTGCTTTGTAACAAGCAAAAGGACTCAGTAATGTTATTTTTTGTAGTCACAAACATGCACATCTGACAGCCTAAAGAGACACACAGCACTTTCCCTCTGCACTGTGTTTTTCCTCCTGGCATTTCATGCTTCTAGAAGAGATGGGAAAAACCTCCCCTTTTCCTCACTGCTCCCTGTGTGCTGCCCACGGACACCCCCTTTGCTTCGCTCCTAATCAAGACAAGCGATGCAGCACTCGGAATGACTGAGCAATGGGAGCTGTACTGATTCTCCCCTGCTGCTTGCTTCAGACCTTCAGCTTACGCAGAACATTTCCCTCCATCCTTTCTATTTGTTTCCATGGTTCCCAGGTGAGGAATAAGGAATAAGGCAGACCACGAGGAGAACTGGGATGCTCCAGAGTGAGTTGCCAGTCTCTTTGTTTCTTTCACAACCCTTTTACTTCAGAAATTAGTTATGGGTTAAGGCCTTTGATAACAGAGAAAATACCACTTGCCAACTCCTATCTGGCTGTATTAAGATGACTCCTTTTGTTCCTTTGACACGGAAGACCCCAGTGGTATGCACTTATAAAAAGTATTTTCTGTTACATTAACTTTGCCGGCTCAGTAATTCCAAACTTCACAGATAATGGTGTTGTCTTTAATGCACTGAAATTACTTTGTTGTACCGTCCATGAGTCTCACAGAACGCAGGTACCTTGGCAAGGAAAGCCAAAAGGTGACAGATGCAGCATGGAGCGTACCAAAGTCCTGGAGAAATTCCTCCAGGATGCATGAGCACTCAGGTCTGCGAGGAAAAATCCAGTGAGCGTCACCAACAGCCAGTAAAGACTGCTTCAAGGGAGAGATCTACACAGCAGCTGTGTCACAAAACTTGAGCAAGTACAAAACCGAGCCTTGAGCAGCTTAAGGTGGCTTTAACAAGGAAGATGAGCACCTTTTTAAACACACTATCAAGCCCTGGATGCGCAGCACAGCAGAAAGGCTGAAAACAGCAAAACCTCTGGAACTGCTCCATGCATGGGAACATCAAAGTAGAGGAGACTGGGTCTGACTCAGAGCTGCAGCAGCTCAGCCTTGACGCAGACTCCCATGGTACCAGGCTTCCTGAGCCAGGGGCCACCTTTGCCCCTAACCAGGAAACCACATCAGTATCTGAAGCCTGGGGACACCCAGGCCAGAGAATGGTGTATCCACCTGAAGCACAAAGCCAGTCCACAGAGACACTGGCCACAAGGCGACAGACTTCTCCATGTCGCTTAGGACATCTGTGCCAAGCTATGCCATGACGTATCGTGGACTCTCCCCAAAAAAGATGCAAGGGCAACAAAGACAAATTTATGTCAACACTGGTAGTTTCAGGCCTTGTATCATTTGTTAACATGTTCATTCTGTAAAAGTCTTAATGAATGATGAGACTGAAGATGCTGAGTGCCCTGGCATGATGCCACTGAGGAACTAGAAAACAACCTCCACAAAACCCAGCACTGGGAGAGTGGCAGTAATGCAGCCCCGTGTATGCACTGCACCTTAGGAACAGGAGCAATGAGACGTTCTGCCTAATTTCTGTTTCAAAGGCAGGGCCCTACGGAGAGAAACCCAACCAGACTCTGTTCACAGTGCAACTGAAATACAGTTAAAAAACTGTTTCTGCCTTAAGTATTTACAACATTAGGAAGAAAAGACAAAGCAGCCAGGAGGCTGCGACTCCAAGGAGGGAACACCATGGTATGGAAGGAACCAGAAGCAGCAGATTTACAACAGGAGCACGTGACTGGCCATTCCTGCCAAGTCAGGATCACGTCGAGATAGGCTTGGTGGGAACATACAAGTCCATATTCCAAATTGCTCAAAGTCAAGAGAAAGCTTACAAAAGGCTACTGTCCCATGGGACATGAGCACAGAGGGGTTTCAGTGCTTGTCTGAGACAACACAAAAAACCAACAGCAAAACCAAAAGCTGGACCTCCTGAGTTAGCCGAATATTCTAACCATGGCATCTTCTGCCCTTGAACCAAGGGAAAGCAGTAACCTAAAACTGAATGCTTGGAGCTAAATTAATCTGTCAGGGCATCACTGATTATGATTTTGGACTAGATTTTTGTAAGATATTCATGTGCCTGAAGTGACAGAGTCAGATGTCGTGAACAGAATCGTCAAGGAGTACTGAGGCAGCCATTCCTTCTTAAATCCTTCTGAAGATCGTACCAGGTATCCATGTGATTCATTAGGTGACTAAGCATTCTTAAAAAATTAGAGGGAAGAATGGCATCATCACTGCTACTTTTCTGCCTAATTACTGCCACATTCAATGCTGCTAAATTTACAGCTGGGAAATCCACGTTACCTGACTTCCAGCCCAGCCCATAGCGGAGGAGCCAGCACCATCATCTCCCATGAATGAAGGGAGCCCCAGCCTCCCTTTTGGTTAGAACCAGTATTTTTTCCAATAGATGTGTTTTCCCTTTTGGCCTGTGGCAGTAGGGCTCGGAGGTCGCTGTTCTAGAACAAGAAGTTCTTTCTATAAAAATAACCCTAAGATAACTGCTGCTCTTAATGAGAACATCACTCTGCTCTCGCTTTGACATGGATTCCAGAGTCGTTTTTTCCTCCAGGTTTTATCATTCTCCTCTTTCCC